GGCATAATAGGGTTGCATTTGCAAAAGCAGCATTTAGCAAACATTTGAGAATTTAATAAAATAGTTAAGTAATTAAACAATATTAATCCAACGCTATACAACATACCCTGTTGTATAGGCCCAACCATTCTGAACAACCACCCCGGCTGCACAGTTCTATCTCCAAACCAGGAATGTACCATTCCAAACCAGGAGCTAATCAAATTATTATCAGTTTAAGCATCTTTTACAATGATGAGAGGTGTGAGACTAATCACGAAAGACATTGTTAGACCCGCCCATAACCGCGGGCACGGCTATTCGAATAGTTTTACTCTGATCAGAGGTGTACCACTGTACCCACAAGACACAACCCCACATCATGTCACCATGTGCCTCAATACCACCACGGTATCTCGGAAAGGAGTTGTGACAATACCCCTCGCATAACACAATCCACTGCAGCGCACCTTCCTGGATCATAATCACCCCCTTATAAACAAGGCATGGACTCCCCAGCGACCCCCGTGGGCTTATCTCCGCCACTTCTCAGTCTGGTGCCCCGCAATGAACCATGCTATACAAAAGATAAAGCCGTTGCCCATGCTGGCTTGTGGTTGGCACGATAAATGTTTCACAACCGAAACTCGTGAACCGGTCCTTAATTGCCATGAGCACGACCATCAAAACCATGTGCTCACAACCCACCATTACCAGGTTTTAGTTGGCACATTAATTAATTAACTAATCACGATCAACCATCGTGAACTATTATTAAGCCATCATGAAATAACAGTGAGTCATTAGTTATCCCAATAGTGTACTAATGTTTCTAAGCAAGGCTAAGCAATTATATCTAATATCTAGTTGAACCAATATAAATAAAGCTCAACTAGTCAAATTAATATAACCCAAGGTATCAAGGAATAAGGTAATCAAGTACGAAAGGGCCATAACAAAGAATAGGTCAATTCCACCCAATGACATTCGAAAATAGATGCAATAGTTGAATAGAAACAATAGCTTTAAATAGGATCAACATGCTCAAAGGGTTGTTTGGGATCTGTGTGACTTGCCTTGCTGGCCTTGGAACTCTTCAAACTCTTCTTCTGCGAAAACGGACTCTCCGGAAACGACGGAATCTAAGCAGAAAAGAGCAAAATCACCAAACCAGCACATAAACAAGCATGAACAGTACATGTGGATATTTTTAATGTGTAGATCTCAATTTTAGAAAAATTTAGAGACTTGAACCAACTAAATCGGAGCTAAGATGAATTAGTTATGAATTTTTAAAGATTAAACCGGATTAAAACACTTAAATCGGTTAAAATTGAATTATGACGCAATAATGAATTATTTTTTAAAAGGAAAAGAAGAATTATTGCGTCAGCGGCTAGGGTTTGGGTGGACCGGGCGCACGGGCGGCGGTTCACGCGAACGGACGGCCGAGATCTAACCGATCCAAGATGGACGGCCGAGATCGATCGGGTCCACAGCGGCTCACGGCGGACGACCCCGATGACGTCAGCAATGACGTCACCGACAGCGGCGGCGGCTCGGCGGCTGGGATGGCTCGGGCGGCGCACGCTTGCCGGCGAACGGCGGCGCGAGGACGCTAACAAAGGGCACCAACGGGTAGCGAACGGCACGGCGAACTCACCGACGACCAAAACGACGGCGGAGAAGCAACAGACGGCGCCGGCGACGAGGAGGAAACGGCGGAGTTCTTCGGCTTGACGACGGCGATGATGCTCCGGCGGTCTCCGACGATGGCGAAGCGGCGGACGAGGACGGTGACGACTTGGCGACCACGATGACGTCCTTCCCGAGCGACGGCGACGGCTGAAACGACGGCGGCACACGGCTGGAGCGGCGGCGGCGACGGCAAAGCTAGGGCACACGGCGCTAGAGCTCTTCCGGCGACGAGAAGCGAAGGCGAGGGTGGCGACGGGTAGAGGAGACTCCGGGGGTCCTTTTAAAGGGGCTCGGAGGCGGCAGCGAAGGCCCACGGCGACGGCAACGGCGAAGGAAACTCGCGGCTTGGAGAGAGGAAAGCCGATCCGATTCGAACTCGAATCAAACTCATTCCAAACCGATTGAGCCAAAGATTCCAAAGGAGAAAAGGTAGAGGAGATCCCGGAGATTGTTTCCCCTCTAACAAATCGGCCGGAGAAGGAAAGGAACGGCCGGATTGGAAGGAAACAGCGGCGGCGGCTCGGCGGCGGCGCGCTAGGGTTTCGGCCCGAGGAAGACGACGGCTCCGACAGGCGGGACCCACCTGTCAGCGACAGCGAGGGCGCGCGCGCGGCTGACTGGGCCGGCTGGGCCGAGGAGAGAGAAGAGAGGTTTTGGGCCGACTTTCGGCCCAAAGCCAAAAGAAGACTTTTTAAAACCTTTTTCAATTAAAATTATTTCTTAAATGCAATTCCATTTATTAAAAATACTTCCTTAGCTCAAATAAATCCCAGAAACATCTAGGAATTATAGAATTAAGCAAAGTATTTAATGAAATTTTATCTGGCCCCATTTTATATTGGAATTTATTAATTAAAATTAGATTTTCTTTTCAAGACTTTTAAAATTATTTCTAAAAATTCCAATTAAACAACAATTTATATATTTTGAATTTTCAGGGTGTGACAACACCTGATTAGATGCTATCGTTTGATAACATGTGCAATACTAGTGATCATGCTTTTAGGATCATTCTTAAAGTAAGAAACACTATGCTACAGCACATGCTAGTAAAACATTGACTGGAGCTCAGTTAAAATTGTGTCGATTAAAAAAAAAAGCGCTTTGCCGTTGTTTTTTTTGCTGCTGATTAGTTCATTTACTTAGTAGAGCAAAGGTAATCATTTATCGTGCCACATCAATATTCTTGCTCACTAAGAAAGATGCAAAACCTTGGCTAATCAAAATTGGTACTTCTACTCCAAGGATTTGATTGTGAAATTAAAAGGAATAGAAAATCTTGCAGCAGATTATTTATCGTGCATGCAAGAACTGCTGATAAATGACCTCCTACAGGACGACATGCTGTTAAAGGTGACAAACTACAACCCTTAGCCTACACCAACGGTCTACTAATAAGAGGCGTACACAGCTGAAGGCGTCCAGAAATATGATGCAGCACCGTATGAGACTTTTTTTCATATGGTACAACATGTCACTACAAACAGGTAAGAAATGTTAGAATCTCTTCTAATTTTACTCTTTCTTTGATTTTATGAATAAAATGACCTATAGGTGGCGACGCGATGTCTCAGCCTTCGCGCACATAGTCCCATGTGGACTCAAGGTAAGTTTCATTTCAATTGAATAAAATAAAAGACACGTCCGGTTTTTAACGGTTGAGTCTATTTGCTTTCACTTGTCTTCGTATCTTTGAAGCACCACAAGTACAAAATCAAGTGTGGGCGTCATGTGGTGATGGAAGGGTGAAGGGTGCAAGTATATACAAAAGCAAGAGCTGAGCTTAATTTATCAAATTAGGAAGCAAACCAGGCCCAATGGATTTTCTTTCATTTTTTTATTTAAATAGGTCTTTTACTTTGCCATAAGGTAGAACCTGGTAACTGTTAGTTGTTCTCTGTATAGTTTCCATGCACACAATCAGAGCTAGCTATTTCATCGAGTCCTTAATTTGTTTGCACATTGTTTTCGGTCTGCCTGTAATCAGCGCTATTTTGTCCCTTCCATTGCTATATGTTGGTGTGTACTTTATACTTTCAAAATTGCTACGCAACATCCAAAAATCTATTTCTTATTTAGGCTAGAAAGATTTCGTACAAAACTGAACCGTTAAGGTGAGTGTAAAAAATAAATGATGATTGTGGTCTTTTTATAACGACAACTTCACAAAATGGGCTTCTAATTATATTTAAATAATCATATTAGCATTGCCTAAGGTGATTTAGTATTTAAATACACACTTCAATTAATTGGTTTTTAAGAACAAGTTAAGTTGATGCTAAATAGATTTCTACTGGAAAATTAACCACTGTTTTCATCCACATGGATCAATGGATGACTAATATTTATAACAAGAATTTAACGAGTTTATAGTTTAAAGTTGAGCCTTCAAATTAATTGGATAAGAAGGCATACCCACAGGTGTGTCAGTGTAGTTTGTATGAATGGTGATGCGTGTAATGATGGTGTAACATATCGGTTAACGACTTTTTGACGGAGATTCCATATTAACCAGAAAGATTCAGCCATAATTAAATATATCATATCATCTTGACCATAACTCAAATTAAGAGTCTGGGTTGAATAAATTATGCCATATGAGTTCGTATTAAATGTATGTTTGCGCCCGTCTTGGACTGTTAATGTAGCACTTCATTAATTTAATCAATTATTCAAAATGAATAATTTTATTTCAGTATACTTTAAAATACTTCCTAATTTAGCAATAAGTCTAGGATTAATAAATATGGTGTTGTATATATATATATATATATATATATATATATATATATATATATATATATATATATATATATATATATATATATATATGAAAATGCAGATTTGCACTCGAGCTCACATGCATCCACAATCTAAACCATTGAGGTGTTCCAAGATTCATGTTGCAAAATGTATCTAACCTTGACCAAATGAATTCTTACTATAGAAAGAAAAAATTAGGTTGGTACACAACACATATAATAAGTATGTTGCATTTTTTTTACCAAATATTTTTTTTCAATAACAATCATATATGAAATTTGTTCATGGTATTTCTCTAACCCTTATTTTTTTATAACATGATATTTAGTCAACATGAGAAAATGTTACATCTATTATATCTCCAAATTATCATGTTGCAAAAATGATATATCCTATCATCCAAAACTATATAAACGAGATAATTATATAAACAAGGTAAATTTGATCTGATAATTTGATAACCTCAATGTTTCACATATATGAAAAAAAAAATTACATTAACAAGGTATTTTATACTTGTAAAAAATATTGTATAAAGTAAACATCATGTATGGTACATTTTGTTAGTACCTAATGTACCTGCTCTAAGATTCGTGCAACCTATATGTAAAGTGTAGATTGTGGGTGCATGTGTGCTCGAGTGCAAATAATCCAACTCATATATATATATATATGTATATGTATATATATATATATGTATATGTATATGTATATATATATATATATATATATATAAAATAGCAATAACAATATAGGTGCCGTGTAACGACGGGTTAATGGCTGGAATACCTAACACGGATGGATACCTCTCAAATTGTTCATCGTATCTTTCTTACAAGTCAGTCAAGCATGGGTGAATACATGATTTGCATTTATTTCTGTATTTATATATTTCGGAAAGTTTAATTTGTTCAGTCCATTGATCGGATGAGTTTTTCAGAGCATTTGATTTTCGAAAAGCTTAATTTGTTCAGTTCATCGATCGGATGGAAATTTTCACTTCATTTGATTTCCAGCACTAAAAAAGGCATGGGCTAGACAGGTAGTTAGGTACACTCATGTATTCACCAGTGCTTGACTGGCTAGAAAGAAAGATACGATGAACAATTTGAGAGGTATCCATCCGTGTTAGGTATATCCCATTGGACGACTTCGTGCCCATGCATATCCCAAAGAATAGTAGTGGGATTAGTTTAGATATTTCATTTATTTTTTCACCATGTATTTAGAATAGTAGTTGATCGAGTTGGAAATATTTCAGCATGTGTTTTTACTTTGTTTCAAATAACTTATGCAACTACCTGCCTCTATTCTCTCATTCTTTCTTCACTCCATGCATGCAGCCGTCTTTGAAATAGAAATAAATTTTCTTCCGATAATGCTCTTCGTCAGTCGACCGACGGGGGAGCAAAAAATCAGGCGCTCCCCCCGCGGCCCCGCCCCCGCGCGCGGTGATACTGTTCGGCCCCACCACAATACTTGCCCCCACCTGCAACAAATTAACCACATATTTTGGAAACCATCTATTAAAGGAATTTGGTTTATTTTTTATTCCACCAAAAATGTTTCACCTAGTGTACTCACAATGATTCACTATGTATAGATCTAATGTTGCAATGAACGAAACATTCCATTGCAACAAAAAAAACCCACATATTTTAGAACCCCCCTATTAAGGGAATTTTGTTTATTTTTTTATTCCACCGAAAAATGTTTCACCTAGTGTATTCACAATGTTTTATTATATATAGATCTAATGTTGCAGTGAACTGAAACATTATTTCGCTATTTGCTGAACATTGTTTTTATATAAGGTGAAACAACACCCGATTTAAACGAGTGAAACATTTTCGATATACTTAGTGAAACAATTCCGATATACTTGGTAGAACATCATGCAACATTTAAAAATAATTTAATAATAAGCTAAAAAAATTTTCGTCAGAATATATCCATGTGTGGTCTTGTTTTGAAGATTTAATTGTAATAAATTTAATGGTGCAATCGGATCATGATTTGGATAAGTAATTTAAGAGAAAAATCAGTTTAAAGTAGTTTTGCACGTAAATCGGACGCTGACGTCATGCTGACGTCAGCGCCCGATCTTCCTCGCTCTCCGTCGGGCGACCGACGCGGAGTTGCGTCCATTTTCTTCTAAACTAATTATTCAATCTATGTTTCGATCACACCATTATATTTGTTGTAATTAAATCTTTATAATAAGATATCATGTGATTATATTCAAATAGAAAAAATATATACATTTCAAACTATTAAAATTTATTGTTTCATACGCGAAAGCAATATGTTTCAACATGTGTTTTCTTTTTTTTTAAATGTTTCATTTGCTAACTTTTTTTCTCACCACGTATCTATCTAACTACCTATAGCTATACTAATTAGACACTTTAACGGAACTCTCATGTTAATTAGAAAGATCTGGTAATATCGTGACCGTAGTAGATTAATATCATAACAGCACGTGGACTCTTAGAAGCCCAACTGATCTTGCGTGCAAAAGCCCAACTAATCTTGCATCTTGAGTCTGGACCGTAATCTAATGGACTATGCTATAAGCACGTTTTAATCTTGGCAGCTGCCGTAGATATCGCGTATCAATCTCGATAGCTGGCCAGCAATCCGAACAAAAAAAATTAAGGTCTTCTTTCGTTAGTTCGTCATAGCTGTATATATATCGTATCGACTTACAGATGGCCGTGACTCCGATTCACACACCAGAGAAGGTTGCATTCACGATCGGCCGCAAGGGCATGCCGCATGGCTCCGGCGAGTTTTCATGCCAGCTTCAAGCCGTACGTACCTGCCAGACTTGATTCACCGTTGCGCTCGATACACCAACTGCATCTCAATATTATTAATTGTTAGTCCATAACTCCACACTAAGTATGATTCTATATTAATTAATTGCCACTCTATATAATTCGTAATTTTGGAATAATATGGAGAAACTATAATTGAGACTCCTAACAGAGAACAACTCGAATGATTACTAAATCAAATTTTAGTATTATTGAATCATAAAAATTATAATTGAGAGTCCAAAAGCTAGAGCAATTTGGTACTTATTAAACCAAAATTATAAATTAAAATTTGTCATATACTAAGTTGGTATTCCAAAATGAACTCATGTTGATACTCTCTAATTTTCAATTTTAAAACTATTAATTGAAGAAAAAAGAATTAAGATCAGAAATATTAGTAAGCATTACATGCTAATTTTTAACTAATATTTTTGTGACTATAAATAAACAGAATCATTCCACATTTGAACTTTAAAACAAATTTCGCATAAAACTTTCAAAAGTTAATAACGGACATTTTCAACATATGATGTTGTATTTTTAATATCTAACAAATAAATTAAAATAGCCCGTGCAATGCATGGGTTGGCGACTAGTATAACTTAATGTCTCACTCTTTAAGGTGTCCGTCTGAGAAAATCATCAATCTTTCATGTGGACCACATAAGGTCCGTCGCGAAGATGGATCTTCCAAGCACAGCTCCTTGTGTCGTCCGCTAGGGAAGATTGACATTTGCAGATGGACAGCCATGTCGCCCCTCCCACATGTTGCAGGCGGGACCGTTGGTGGCAACAATTATCTCCGCATAGAAATTTAGAAGCACCTTGTCTGTGAAAATCATTTTCTCAGTAGTGGGTCAACTGAAACATGGTACCGTCCAATTTTTTTTTTAAGGAAATCAGACGTCCGTTTATAGTTCCCTCCATGTAACTCATCATCTCTCTCATGCAATTCCATATCTAGTTCACGAAGGATGTGGCGGCGATAGAAATCTTCCCACCATATCTCAACTATTATAAAAATTGAAAATATTATTTTTTGCCAGTACTTTGGTACGTCATCCGTGTATCAGCCCGTTTTTAAGGTTGTTCACTTTTAGAAATATATATCCGTATTTGAGTCAGTTTTTAAGTTCTTCGCTTCTGAAAACTCACATGATTACTTAATACGAACAGACTCCTAACTGCAGCTCATAATTTTCTAAAAATATATATATCCAACCGAATTTCTACAGTAAATTTCACCTTAACTAAACTATATCTCTACTATTATAAAAATCAAAGATGTTTTTACCGGTATTTTGGTACGTCATCCGTGTATGAGTCGGTTTTTAAGTTCATTTGCTTTTGGAAATACATATTCGTATTTGAGTCGGTTTGTAAGATCGTACACTTTTGGTAATACAGAAGGAATCATATAAGAAATATATTTTAAAAAAAACTCGCATGCTAACTTGAGACGATCGAACTCCTAACTGCAGCTCATGATTAAATATATATATATATATATATATAAACCAATTAAAAGATTCGTATTTTTCCAATCGTCACCTCCTTTTCACCAGCGATTTTTCGTCAAAAAAACCATCCGTTTCGTCCGTCGTCCTTCATAGGAGTCGAGTCCGATTCCATCAAAAAAAAATCCCTCATCTTGATCCCCAAATAAATCAAACAACGAGACAACCAAAAACACTCATAGGATTCGAGTCCGATTCCTTAAAAAAAATCCCCCATCTTGATCCCCAAATGAATCAAACAATGAGACAACCAAAAACAATATAAAAGAGCAATTTTAATCCGAGTAGAGCTCATGAACTTGATCCCAATGTCCGATTCCACGAAAAAGAAACAAACTCGGGCGAAAAAAAAGGCGACCGGATCCGCCCTCGGCCGCTGCCATTGCCGCTGGATCCACCCGCGGCCGTCGCTGACGCCACCACCGCCGACTGCCGCCGGATCGCCCTCGGCCACCGCCACTGCCACCGGATCCACCCGACGCCACCACCTCCACCGAAGGCAGAAGAGAGGCGGCGGCTGTCACCGACACCACCACCACCGACTGCCGCCGGATCCGCCCTCGGCCGCTGCCACCGCCGTCGCCACTGCCACCGCCACCGCCGGATCCACCCATCGGAAGTAGTGGAGGGAGCCGCCGTGGCCGCTCACGGTGGGGAAGGCCGCGGCCGCCGCTAGCGGCCAGAGAGAGGACGAGATCCAGTCACCGGTGGAGGATCCGCGCAAGAGGGGAGCAAGGGAGATGATGGGATGCGTGTGGGAGGGGAAGAAGTCGTCGGTTCGCTCCCCGCCCACCTGCCTCGGTCGCCCGTCTGCCGCCTCGCTTTGCTCCAACCGTGGCTCTCCCGCCGGCTGCCACACCGCTGCGTTGCAGTCTTACAGAGAGGGAGAGGGAGAACAGAAACGATGGCTAGGAGAGAAAGAACGAGAGAGTGACACAGGGTGAGAGGATAATGATCTCCATCCAGGCCACCGCCCACCACACAATTCTCGCCTCAAGAAACCTGCACGCGGCATCTGACTCCCAGCAGTTTTTCATATTTACCCCTAATAGTATATTTTATCCTATACTTCAGTAAATACAAAATATTTCTAAAAATATCCCCAGATTAGTACTCACACATTGATATCCAGGACCTTGGCAGTTTTAATTTTACAAGACTGGACTGATGTACAAACTACCTTTTATAGCTCTGCGTATTGAGCTGACCATAGAAGTCATTAACCTCAAAAAATATATGTGTGTTATATATTTTGTGATTAACAAATTTTGTATATCTACATCTATATACCAATAAAAAAAATACATAAGGCTTCCAGGTATTTTTTTTACCGTCCTTTTTTTACGATTTTTTCCACCGTTTTTTGTCGCTTAAGTCAATTATTTTATTTTTGCATGTGGAACGGTGTACGCAACCCTAGAGTGTATGCGCGTCGATCTAGGTTGAAGATGGCAGCCTCGGATAGGATTGGGAGTATCAGCTCCCTTATGGTACATGGACAAGACTGTTTTCAGGAGGTTGAAGACGACAATTTATGCGAGTTGAGCCTGCAGTTCCACGTGTGGGCTGCAGGCCGAGCGGAGGAAGGTGATGGACTAGACGGGGCTGAAAAGAAATGATGTAATGGGCTTTCGAATTAAAACCAAGGAATGTGTAAAATTTATCGCAAACAATTTTACCCAGTGCAATGCACGTGCATTTTCCTACAAAAGCTTTAATTTGGATCACATGTTAAGCTATGCTTTTACTTTGGACCGGATAACATTTTCTTTGTTTGCATCTTGAACCACCTTCGCTGTTCATCTCTTTCATCCCCACCCAAAACCCGGCTAGCTGGGAACTAGAGGGGACGCACACGCTATTGGTGCTGAGTGGCTCAAGCTCAGACATTGCGTGAGCTCCATCCATGTTGCACCATGGTCAAGCCCGGCTTGCTCGGTTTGGTTCCGCTCCATCATAAGTGGAGCTGATTTTCCTATCTCTTTTTATAGGTACCAGTTTATTATAAAAACATTGGGGGAGGGAAATGAAATCTTGGGTTAGGGTTAAGGTTTGGCTGTAGATATTTATATAGGTTAGGATTAATCTGGACCGTCCATTCGATCGGACGGCTCCGGCTTACCCCGCTCGGGCCGTCGGACTATTGGGCCTCCAAATAGGCCCACAAGTTTGCGTAATCAGAGAAGGAGTTGTGGGACGTAAATTAGATTTTATTTACGAAAAGGACTGAAAATGGCCGAGAAATTGTGGTTTTTATTTACATTTTTATTTAAATAAATGCTAAAATGATGTTTGTGTTGTCAAATTAAGCTTCAAAAATTCCAATTAAAATTCAAAGAGTGTTATTAATCATTATTGATTCAATAAAAATTAAATCCAACCATATCATATTATTTCACGGCCTGCGGTGGGGAAATGCGCAGTTGCTGTCGGTGGGAGAGAAGGGGCATTGTTTATGTACAGAACTATCTCCTATAACTCCCATGGATCTATAAAATAACTATAATCATTATCTTAACATTAGTTTTTTTCTGTTGCAACGCACTATTGGATAATATTTTGAGAATTCGGTTAAAAACACACTATTTTTTATTTTTTTATTGGACAAATATTTTTAGTTTTAAAACACCGTAGCGAAGCACGGGCATTTTGCTAGTGTGTGTGTGTGTGTGTGTGTGTATATATATATATATATATATATATATATATATATATATATATATATATATATATAGGACACTCATATGGGGCACCATGGTGCCCGGGCACCATGGTATCTAATGCACAAAATCACTCAAATTTTTCAAAATTTTCAAATTGTGAGTATATACCTAGTTATAATAATTTGATTCATACCTATACTTATCAACAAAACAACTCAAATTTAACTTTATTTCACAATCCATGATTACATACCTAACTAATTATATGTATGGATGCTACATACCTAGAATCAAAATCTAACAAAAACAAGTTCAAATTCAGTTCAAACTTGCTTTAAACTAGTTAGTAAAGTAGGTAATGTTAATATCTAAGTAATTGAAAAAGTTTCATACTCATTTGAATTGGGTATATACTCAATTTTAACAATGGTGCCCGGGCACCATAGAGCACCAAACAAATTTAATATATATATATATATATCCAAGTGAACTCCCACAGTAATTTAATATATAGACTTCACCCGTTGTAATGTATGGGCATTTTTTTCTAGTAACAATAATAAAATTAAAATAATCTTCACCCGTTGCAATGCACGGGTATTTTCTCTAGTACACACATTAAAAAATGAAAAATATGTAGTTACTATAGACCAGTTTCTTCGTACTCACACAAACTACTACGTACACCTGATCCGTTCTGATGTCTATTTTATTGTTCTCACCAAACTTTTCAATGCAGTAACCTCAATACCATCCGTAAAAATTGGTAGTATTCTCAAAGCTAAATAGAAAAACATTAGAATATATGTATATTGACAAACCTAAGAAAAGGAAAATAAAGTAAAAGGTACTAGCTCGTTGGAGATCATCGATGAAGATAGCAAGCTTGTGTATTGTACTTCCTCCGTTTTACAATATAAGTCATTCTAGCATTTTCCACATATATGTCTAGATTCATTAGCATCAATATGAATATGAGAAATGCTAGAATGACTTACTTTGTGAAACGGAGAGAGTATATATATATATATGGTCGTTGATTGTGGAACTTAATAATTTAATATATGTTGTGACCAGCATATACCAGGGGTGTTCGCATGAACATCGAAAACAAAACACACGAGGTTACTGTGAAATATAGTTGGACCCAACCTTGTCACACACGCAACTAGAAAATTCTACCGGTTGTTGGATCTTGATCACTCGGTTGTACATATATATCACATATGGGAGGAACGAAGCAAGCGCGAATGCGCTATGTTTCGTCGTCGTGTTAAGCTAGAAAAGTCACTTTCCATGCCAGCGCTGATATCCAGCATTTTATACGTCCGGCGGCGACGCCGGCGAGTCTATAAATAGCAAAACAATGACCACCGGACTACCGGAGAGAATTGCCAAGGGATCGATCAGAACGGTGTCGAAGAGGCCGATGGCGCCGCGGGCGGCAGCGCTTGTTCTGGCGGCGGTGCTCATGATCACGATGATCGCCTGTGGCGCGGCGCGGAAGAAGGACGCCGTCTACGTACATGCCGTGACAACGCCTCCAAGTCAAAACCGGCGTGCCTTACAAGTCAGGCCATCGCCAGTTGTCGAGCCGTCCGGGTGCTGCAGCGGCCATCGGTCGGAGGCAGTGGCATCGTGGTGCCCCAACCCTACACCCTGTCACGACCCGTAATAATAAGCGATGTGTCGCCTTGTTGGAATTCCTTGTGTCCTTGCATGTGTCGCCTTGTTGCCTTGTTGGAATTCAATAACGACCAGCTTGTAATTTACCTGTACTTCTCCCTTTCTCTACTCGATGAGACTGGAGAATATATGCATATTTTACGTATTCTTTCATCCTTGGAGAGGTATATATACCTCTCTATTGTCTTAGTGAGTGATTAAAAAAAGTAAATTGATTAAACTGATTAGAACATGAATTTATGATTGGTAATGACTAATTTTTTTTTGGATTCATGCGAAGTATATAGAGGTATATATACCTCATATTATAAATTATGACGTATATACTTTCCGACTAACACATGTACTTATACCTAAAATATGAAATAAAAATTCAAGAATATTTATAAAGATTAGTTTTCAACCATATTTCAACCTTTACAGTTAGTTTTGATA